AATTGTGAGAGTGACGAACATGCATTGGTTCCTGCAGATAGCCCAACAGATTAAGTCAATATTTCAGGAGAATCTTTCAAATTGTGAGAGTGACGAACATGCATTGGTTCCTGCAGATAGCCCAACAGATTAAGTCAATATTTCAGGAGAATCTTTCAAATTGTGAGAGTGACAAACATGCATTGGTTCCTGCAGTTAGTCCAACAGATTAAGTCAATATTTCAGGAGAATCTTTCAAATTGTGAGAGTGACATACATGCATTGGTTCCTGCAGATAGCCCAGCAGATTAAGTCAATATTTTAGGAGAATCTTTCAAATTCTGAGAGTGACATACATGCATTGGTTCCTGCAGATAGCCCAGCAGATTAAGTCAATATTTTAGAAGAATCTTTCAAATTATGAGAGTGACATACATGCATTGGTTCCTGCAGAGTGTAGTGTGTAGAAAGTATGAATGAGCTGCCAAAAGGACCGATTCGTTGATGGATAAACTTACTCTGTGCCTCGCGTTTTTCGTCACAGAGAGAGGCGTCACAGAGAGCGTATATGACCGAACGCGTAGCCTGGGAGCTGGGCGTCCGGTAACAGGACGCGTAGCCACGGCCTTTTTTGAAAGAAATAACGAGTTTTGGAGGTGGCGTTAGAGGGTGGTGATCGGTGAAAGGTTGTATGAGCACGTCGTCTCACTGCCAGTAAACTCACCTCTGCTGGGACTGAGACAGGCAGCGCTAGCCAATCACTGCTGTGATAGGACGTTCTAAAAACACTGCTCAGCAACGAAGTCTTGCAGAGTTGACATTTTGGCGTGCGCGCGTGAAAAATGCGTCTAAAATCACTGAGAATCGGCCAACGATATCCAAGGGGGACGGTGTTGTGAATGTTTCGCTCAGCCGCTCCTGTCCATCCCGATCCATGCAAAACGTTGGCAAAAAGTTGTTTGCGTTCGCAGTGTGTGTCCCTGGCTCATGCAGAGGGAGGGTTTTCATTGCCAAGGTTAGCAACAAGCCAAACGTGGAGCAATGTCAGGGCCGTTAGGCTGCGAGAGAAAAAATCTATGAAAATGCGGAGCAGTGAAAATGAGGGAGTGGGGGGAGAAGGCGAGGCAGGGAGCGTAAAGAGTAAAGGAGAAGTAGGAACTATAAATGACTAGTCCATGCCCGTTAGGTGGTCCATAACGAAATGCGCTCCATTTAAGAAACAATGTAAAAACAATGTATAACATTTCTCTGGTTAGATTAGATGGAGCGACTTAGAAAATCTTAGATGGAGCGCCTTTGGTTATACATTGTTATTTACATTGCCATTGTGTTTTCGTGTTGTGACGTTGCCCCGCGCTCGGTGCAAAATTTTCCCACTTTTTTAATGTTTTTGAACGTGGAATGTGAAAAAAATAAAACTGTGAAGAAAGAAATAGCCCATGCAACGTGTCATGATCTGTAGAATGTTCCGACCAAGTTTGGAGAGGATCCGTTGAGCGGTGCGGAAACGTATAGCCGGACACACACAGAAAATCCCCAATTTATAGTAAGATAAGTTATAATTATAACTATAACATATAGTTACAACTATGAGATATAGTTTTCACTATTAAGGGTGGACAGGAAGAGGGAAGTAATGAAGAAGGATAACAGAAAAGTGAGCGACGGGGAGAAGAGAGATGGGGAGAGAAAGGGAAAGAGAGAGGGCCAGTGGGAAAGAAAGAGAAGGCACATGAAGTTGAGAAGAAGCAGGGAGTGGTACTGGAGTAAATGATAGAAAGATAAGACATGTACAGCCTACAGACAACACAGGCTAACGTAAGCTAGCATTAGGTCTTTTCTCGATGTTGTCACATTGACACTAATGCTAGGGATGATATTTGAATAGGCCGCAACTGATTAGTGAGTTATCTAATATTACCAGCAGTCGGATGATGCCACTGCTTCCCTCACACGACAGTAAATGCTCAAAGAATCTAGCTGCTTGGTTGGATTGTCCCAATACAGGGACGCAGGAGGTAGAAAGGAGTAGTGTACGCCCAATGTCTTTCCCCCGATGAAATAGCAAGCGGGTGCGGGATTTCGCGAAGTTTAAAGTTCGTGTCAGTTAGGCAGCAGTAGCGAAACCGGGTTTTTCCGAAAAACGAGTTAAAGTGTGCCGCAAAGTTTCCACTGTAGATGTTTAAACATCACGAAATCGTTTAAATTGTTTAAGTAATAAGAATAATTTACTTCGGACCCATTTTACTTCCAATTTACTTCCAATCCAATAATTTACTTCCAATTTACTTCCAATCCAATAATTTACTTCCAATTTACTTCCAATCCAATAATTTACTTCCAATTTACTTCCCGTTTACTTTCCAAATTAATTTACTTCCAATTGACTTCCACCTTTACTTTCCAAATTAATTTACTTCCAATTGACTTCCACCTTTACTTTCCATGTTCTTACCTGTAGCATGTGCGTGCGTGCGTGCGTGCGTGCTCGTAAGAGAAGCTTGCCATAAGAAGCTTTCTTTCGGGCAAAAGCAAAAGGGAAGGTGGGTTGGCACGCTGCCAGATCACTCTGCGCTTTCTCTGGCACAGCCGCTTACATTCAATATTAATTTTAAAGTGTAGCTGTTATGTACACTTGTTCTATTATGTGTTCATTACTGTGTACATTCGTACTATTATGATTGTACAATTACATGTGATTGTACTATTGTGAATGAACTATTATCAAGATCTAATAATACCCTATTAGAGGTATTATTAGCTCTTGATATAAGGCCAAAAGAAAATATAGGTGTGGTTACGGTTTCCCGACCGACCCTATTTATTCCCAGCGACCCTAAACATTTTATTCAGTTTTAAAAAGTTAATATTTAAAAATTTAAAAATTTAAAAAAAAGTTTCAGTTCCTGCTTCAAAAGGCACAACGCACATCCTTCGGACATGGTTCGTAAATAAAATATTTCAAGAAAATGTTTTCCCTACCTACCTACCCTATTTTTTTTCAGCATGTAACGGTAACCACACATATATTTTGTTTTGGACTTATGTATGCATTGTACTATTTATTACACACAATTAATTCCACAGGTCAATTCAACGTTTGGGATCGCCACCATGGGTGCAAAGTGACATCACACATTATATCACGAGCTAATTTGTCGTTATCTACCCCTGATTATATTATTATGGTATTATAAGTTCTTGATTATATATGCAGTTGTCAGACGAAGGTGCTCACTCTCCGCCGTCTCTCCTTCGTCCCGCAGATCGAGTCGAAGTTGGACAACCCGACCAAGTACCACCTGCAGGAGCAGCAGCGATCGCTCATCCGCAGCTGGTCCTCGCACGCCGACGGCGACCTCGTCGTCCAGTCGGTGCCCGGCGGCGGCGGAGGTCAGCAGGCGGCGGTGCCCGGAGGCACCCCGACGCATGCAATCAGCAGCAGCGTGCCCGGCCAGAGCCCCGACAGCCCGCTGTCCGCCGGTCAAGCGTCCGTGTCGACCACCTACTCCGAGGTACGTCGTCGTCGTTGTCTGGCGTCGTTAGCGGTTTTCGTCGAGATCACCTAACCCGGCGCCCTCGCCTGGCCCCTAACCCCCCACCACCCACCCATCCACCCCACCCCGCCGGGATCACGGAGCAATCGTGCTGTAATCGGGGCTTCGCCACGCACAGTGGAAGCCCCTCATCATCGTCATCCTGCGTGCAGAGTTTACGCCGTCGTCGTTAAGCTGGGTTCACGCTACCGACTTTATGTCGGCGAGTCGGCGAGTTGGACCGATTTTGCAATTCGGCAACTACGAGTTTGGCGAAAAATAGAACGTGTTCTACTCTCCCAACTAGATGCTGTCGATCGGTTGGTCGCGCAACTTTTGCGTTTACACTGCCGAGTGTCGGTTGCGAAGTTCGTCCGATTTGCCAATTTGACAACATAAAGTCGGTAGCGTAAACGCAGCTTTAGCGGTTTCTGTTGAGATCATCATCGTTGATAATGTAGGGCGGCCCCCGCGCCCTCGCCTTGCCCCTGCCTCCCCCGGGATCGCTGAGCTGTCGCGCTGTATTCGGGGCTTTGCCGCGCGCACAAAGGAAGCCCTCCGGTGAACTCCGGTCATCGTCGCGTTCGTCAGCATCTCTGCGGCAGCATCCTCGCTGCTGGAGGTGCCGTTCTATAAATAGCGCGCAGCATCGACGCCGGCATGCGGAGGGAGATGCGTCGTGGCTGATATGCGTGTTCTAGCCGTGGCCACGACTCGCCCCCCGGCTTTGTTCGCGAGGAGGCGAAAACCTGGCGTGACCTTTCACTCTCCTGCATCCCCCCTCTCCGACTAAAGTGCCGGAAAAAGTACAGGATGCAAAACACTGGGAAGCACCCACTGAATGCAGAGAGCCCAGAATTTGACCGGCAAGGTTGCAATGCATTTGTGCCGCGAGCACGAATGAGAGAGTTGGCGAAACTACGATTTCAGTGATTTTAAAAGAAATTTGTAACACGATCATTTCATTTTTGTTATTATTATTGTGATTTGATTTTTTCTCTCAAAATTATGACATTTTATAATGCATTCAAAATGTATTGCTATCTTAACAACAGTTTTGAGGTTTTCGAAACGGGTCGTTAACAGGTGAATATATTTGGGTTCATCGTGAAGGAAAATTTCTTAGTTACTTTCTCTTTTAAACGCCTCTATGAAATGCGGCGAATTTTTTTTACAATAAAATCTAAGTATGTCATCGGTTACAGAGCTTTTGGTATACAGCTCCTCCCCCTCCTTACCCCCTCCCTCACTCCTAACCGACTTTCACCCGACCTAGGTACTGTACCTGGACTGGATGTGCTAATGGTAGATAACAGCGTGGCCCCGGTGGTGCCTATCTATAATGTCACTAGTCGTGAACCCGCCAGCGACGCCATCTGTTACTGCTGATCCTGAGAACACTCTGTGGACGTGTGTGTGTGTAGTGGTGCTAGGTGCGTGCCTGCACTGTGGCCGTGTGTGTAGTGGTGCTAGGTGTGTGCCTGCGTGTGTGCGCGCGTGTGTGTGCGCGCGTGCGTGTTTGATGTGTATGATATTTACACACGCAGCTCTTTGTCTTCGCAGTGCTCCTCAGATTAGCAGTGAGTGTTAGCTCGATGTTACCAACCATGATGTTATTTATTGCTGCGCAGTTGTTGTCTTAGCCCGTTCCGCTCCGCTACGTCTGTGTTGTTCTCTCGTGTGTGTGTGCCTGGACACGTGTACCTGAACACGTCTCCATTACCTGGATAGATCCACCCTCCCTCCTTCCCTCCCTGTGCATTCTCGCCCTGCTGCGTCGTTCTGCTTGCTGTGTTGTTGTGCTATAGCTGCCTGTGAGAGCAGGCTGAGGTGTTCGTTAGTTCCTGCTTTGTTGCTGCTCTTGTTTGTTCGTTTTTCTAAAGTTGCTCCCTGACTGCCCTTTCTCTCTCATCTGCTCTCGTCTTAGTCTCGCTCAGCATCTCTCATCCAGCTTCTCATCTCTCTCTCAATCTCTCAATCCGTCTCTCGTCTCTCTCTCTCTCTCCCAGTCCGTTGCTCCTCTCTGCTCTCAAGCATCTCACTTAGCTGCGTTCGCCTCGTCTCCTCTCTCTCTCTACATCTCATCTCGTCATCTGCCCTCTCCATCTCGTCTCTCTCGCTCTCCCTCTTACCTTTCCTCCTCCTCATCTCTCTCTACCCTCTACTCGTCGTCTCTCTTTCTCTCTTTCGCTGTCTGCCTCTTCCTTTCTCTTCTTCTTTCTCGTCTCTCTCTCTCTTCCTCTCTCCTCCTCTTTCTCTCTCCTCTTTCTCTCTGGCTCTCCTCTTCCTTCTTCTCTCTCATCTCCTCTCTCCATATCTCTCTCTCTCTCCTCTCCTCTCTCTCTCTCATTCCTCTCATCCTCTCCTCATCTCTTCTCTCCCACTCCCTTCTCTCTCAATGCTGTATGACACTGCCCTCACACTTCTCTCTCTCTCTCCGTGTGTGTGTATAGTTGGATGATAGCCGCATCCTTGAGGACACTCCATGGGCTGGCGAGGCGCTGACCGACACGGTCATACGGTCGGCGCTCACCGCCCTCGCTGCAGTCGCGCCACAACGTGAAGTCAGCGATCATTTATTCACGCTCTTATTATGTTATCTTATTGTCATTAACCTGTTAAAAGACCGTAACTATTGTTAAACAGCATATATCACCGCCGCTCTTATGTTTATTTATTATCATGGGCGCCGACGTCGGAAGGGAGTGTCACATCGGCCGAATATCTTGGTCTGTATTGGAGGCAGACCTATGTGGCAGGTCTGCCGTCAGGCACTGTTACCTCTAACATCTACATAGCTGAAGGAGGGTGCAGTCCTCCTCCGTGGATCCGCCTTTCGTAAAGCGACGAGACGCGCCGTGAGCCTAGAATCTGGGCAGCGCAGCGAAGTCAAGGCTTGCAGCTTGGCAGCCTCGTTCAAT